CCCACCCCCCGCCGCCACTCCCCATGCATACTGAAGGGTTACTTCTAAGGGAGTGTGAGTGCATTGATTTCTGGGACACCTCATACATACTCTTTTTTTTAAGAAATCAGATTCTTAGCAAGTTTTCCAAGTCAATTTTAGGGCCTTGACAGTCATGGAAACTTAACCCTGAAAACTTCAAGATGCATGGTAAGCCATCATATGTGATTTACAAATACACTTGAGAAATTAATGATACAAGTTTTTCAGGAAGGAGTGTGCTTATTTTTTGTCTACATTATCACTGGATATTCAAGTTTTATAGGAAGCAAACTTTTTAAAAGAGCACTAGCGAAATTAAGTCAGAATGGAGGTGTGTCCCCCTCCCCCGCCCAGGACCCGTCAGAATCAATCTCTCCCACCCGTGTTCTTCTATGATAGTCTGTACTGTGGTTCTGTCAGGCACTAAGTCTGTCTTGTACTAGACTTACATGCTTAGTTATCCCAGTAGCACATTCACCGCTGTGGGCAAGGACGAGGTCTTGCTCGTTTTTCATTCCTTGCCCCCTGAGAACATGGTAGGAGCCTAATAAATATTGATTAATGTAACTGCTTACTGTGAATCCCTCTGAAAGGGTTACAAGTAAAAGGTAATAATTTGTTTGCAAGTGTTCATTAATATACTTAGGGCTCATGTAGGTACATAGATAACCTGTATCTGAGTTTCAAAACCTACAGTCAAAGGGTAAGGTTTTTATGAATAACCCCCTGAAATGTTATGCAGAATGTTGTGTGTAGGTATGTGAATATTTCTGGAGCAAATATCTATAAACTTTAATCGAACAAATCTCTTTGCCCACCATATATTCTCAAGATATTATAGTTCGTTTTCCTAGACAGTTTACTCAACCTCTCAATTTATTAAAGCCGACTATGGTAGGGGCAAATATAGGCCAGCATCTGCAATGCGATATCTCCAGTTATAGCCTTTCACACACACATGACAAGCTTGTGATTGTAGACCCATGTCTGAAAAGAGACCATTTTAAACCAGCATTTAATCCCCAGATGTTTATTCTCTAAAAAGGTCATTCTATATTCCCAGTACCTTTATGATGCCATCAGCGGCACTCCAAGGCCCCTGCAGGAGCAAACACTTCCCTTCAGTGGAAGCAAACCTCCCCGTGGAGCCTTCTCTATGCACTCACAGTCAGCACCCACACATTTCACTCAGGAAAATGAATCGCCGCCTCCAAGTTTCAGGGGAAGCTCCTTGATGGGAAACTGAGGCTGACGGCCCCTCGGAGGGACATCTGACACACACCATTAGAGAAATAAGAGAAAATGGTACCTATGTTGTCTTCACCGCCACCAACGCTGGACAGAAGGCAAAGGACGGTCACTTGGAGCAGTTTCATGGTGCCTGTGGATTGTCGCCGCGACTCCTCGCTCCAGTGTCAGCCAGGGACAGCTCCCTCCCAGCCTGGCAGGGCCTGATTAGCAAATGGAAAAGGTGTGCGGACTGGGAACAGCCACTGCCCATTCCTCCTTATTTCGGGGGCTGTGATAAAGAACGGGAGGAAACACACGCACTCCCTTGGGGAGTTCAGCAGAGAGGAGATTTATTGTTTCAGTCCCTTACAGGAACTTTTTTTTTTCTCTCTCTTCCTTTGGCAGCCACTTGTGTTTTTGTTACTACATTATTTTGTTCTTCTTCAACAAAAAGGTCAGGGCGGGTTTTGAACAGAAACAGATCTTTCTTGAGAATGGGTCCTACAGCTTTCTAACTTTTGTTTTGAAAGTGCGTTTTGGAGTGGTTCTAAAGGGACCTCATTAAAGAGTGACTCAGTTTGGATAAAGAGGCTTTAACTGCCCGAGAGTTAAATTTTAGAGCAAAATCCACCCGGAATCAGCTTTTCTTCTTTCTTTTCAAATTGAAAGCCAGATGAGCAGAGACCGCCTCCTGAAGATAACTGCACAACCTTCTTAGATAAGAGCATGCTCTGTTCTAAGTGAGCAGAGGCTGCTTGGGATGCCCAGGGAAGTGTCTCAGGATAGTCCTAATGGAACTAAGCAAAGACATATAAACATTCACTGATCATTCCTGGGTTTTACTGATGCAAATTGATGAAGAGGAAAGAAAAATTACTTCTAATACCCGGGCTCTCTTCTCCAGGAAATACAATTGGAATGGCACTGATTGGGAGGCTCTAGCAACAAACCAGTGAGTTTGGGAAGGAGGAATTCTTCAAATCAGAATGCCAAGCAAGCTAGATACTCTGTATACCAGGGATCTGTTTGATATTGGCAGCAGTTGATTAAAACATAGTGAGTACACAGCCCCAACCCTGGCTTCAATCCCCGCGGGCTGTGCTGGCATCTCAGCTGATTGCCCTTTTATACATCTTTCGGCATAAACCTGACAAACAAAAGACTAATGGTGGATCAGTATAGATTCATCTGCTCCACCAAAAAAAAACAACAACAACAACAACAACAAAAAAACAACAAAAACAAAACATCAAAAAACCAAAAAACTATTCCAAAATTATACTTTTACCTGTTTTTAAGGAAGACATGCATTGCACTGCTTCACAGGGCTGGGAAGGACTCATTCTAAGAGGGGTTAGAGCAAGTCAACTAGTCAAAACACCCCAGAACACTAGTTTCCTGCCAAGTAATGTCAAGTCCCAAAAGGGCCTCCAAGCTCTATTTTGTATATAAGCAAAACTCAATTTTATCATCTTTTCGAATTAATATTCTAAAGCAGACTACTTTTGGAGTTGCTGCTTTATTTGGTATATCCTGAAGAGTATAAAGATAGCAATAATGTGAATAGATGTCACATGCACATTCCAGAAATACGTTGGGTGTGGCCATGAACTCACAGTGGAGTACGCACATTGCCTCACTTCCTGCCCCTTGCTCTGCTTCATCTCTGGAGTTTTCAGCACACAGAGTCACCATTGATGCTGGCCACAGTCATTGTTATGGATTCAATAGTATTTTTATTTCTCAGCCCTGACTGCTGGGCGTTTCATGAAAAAGACTAGAAACCTATTCCTAGAATACTTGATAAAAATATTATGTCTACCTCAGGCCAGTGTGACTCGGTGGACAGAGATTCAGGCCAGGTGTCAAAGGGTCAAGGTTCAGTTCCTGGTCAAGGATATGTACCTGGGTTGCAGTTTTGATCCCCCACCCAGTGAGGGCATGTGTGGGGGGCAACCAATAAATTCTTTCCCTCCCTGCCTTCCCAACACCATTTATTGAACAGATTTTTTTTACAGCATTATATAAGGTATCCCAAAAAATGTATACCCACTCTTTAAATAATTATAAAGGCAGTGTTTATTAAAATACATTTTATTTTTAAACTGCGCTATCAGCTGTTAAAGTGTGTATACATTTTGGGGGACACTCTGTATGTTCTTGCCTCCTTTGCCAAATATTAATTAACCATATAGGTGTGGGTTTATTTCTGGGCTCTCTATTCTGTTCCATTGATCTATATGTCTGTTTTTATGCCAGTACTATGCTATTTTGATTATTATGGCCTTGTAGAATAATTTGATATTTGGGTAGCATGATACCCCCAATTTAGTTTTTCTTTTGTGATATTGCTGAGGCTATTTGGGTCTTTTGTGGTTCCATGTATTTTTGAATTATTTGTTCTAGTTCTGTGAAATATGCCATTGATATTTTGATAGGAATTTCATTGAATCTAGAGATTGCTTTGGGTAGTATGGACATTTTAATAATGTTAATTCTTCTTATCCTTGAGCACAGTTTATGCTTTTAATTATTTGAAACTTCTTCAATTTCTTTCTTCCATGCCATAATTTTCCAAGTAAAGGTCTTTTATCTCCAATGTCACTAATCATCAGAGGTATGAAAATTAAAACCACAATGATATATCACCTCATACCTGTCAGAATGGCTATTCAATAAATCAACTTACAGCTAGTATTGGTGAGGATGTATAGAAAAGGGAACCCTAGTACACTGTTGGTGGAAATGCAGATTGGTGCAGCCAGGATGGAAAAAAGTGTGGAGGTTCCTCAAAAAATTAGAAATAGAACTGTCTTATGACCCAGCAATTCCACTTCTGAGTATTTATCAGAAGAAAACCAAAACACTAATTTGAAAGAATACATATACCTCTATATTCATTACAATAGCCAAGATATGTAAGTAACTCAAGTGCTCATCAATAACTGAGCGAATAAAAAAGTGATGGTACATATAATGGACTATTATTTGGCTATAAAAAAGAATGAAATTTTGTTTAAACTATATTTTATTGATTTTTTACAGAGAGGAAGGGAGAGGGATAGAGAGTTAGAAAAATCGATGAGAGAGAAGCATCGAACAGCTGCCTCCTGCACACTCCCCACTGGAGATGTGCCCGCAACCAAGGTACATGCCCTTGACCGGAATCGAACCCGGGACCCTTGAGTCCACAGGCCGATGCTCTATCCACTGAGCCAAACCGGTTAGGGCAAGAGAATGAAATTTTACCATTTGCAACAGCATGCATGGACCCTAGAAGGTATTATAGTGAAATAAGTTAGTCACAGAAAGACCAATACCATATGATCTCACTTATATGTGGAATTTAAAGAACAAAATAAATAAATTTTAAAAGTTGGAACAGACTAATAGATACAAAGAACAGACTGATAGTAGCTAGTGGGGAGGGAGGTTGGGGAATTGGGTGAAAATGTGAAGAGATAAAGATATGAAAATTGGTTGTTACCAAATAGCCACAGGGTTGTAAAGGAAAGCATAGGGCATATAGTCAACAATATTCTAATAACTGTGTATGGGTCCTGGTGGGATACTGGAAAGATCGGGGGGGAACACTTTGTAAAGTCTATGGTTGTCTAACCACTATGCTGTACACCTGAAACTAATATAAAATACTATTGAACATAAACTGAAATTGGAAAGAAAAAAAAAGACTTCTCTCACTTCTCACCAACTCCCTATTCTGATAGGAAATAATCTCTTAAGACTCTTGACACTTAAAGACATGAATATGGGGTGGGAGATCATAAAGCACAGGCTCTCAGAGGTAGGATGTACAGGGAGTTCTTTAATACAATGTTATTATCATTTGTCAGAAATCCCACTGTCAAATGATGAGTGAGCCTGCGTGTCAACAGTTGAAACAATTGGACCTCATTACTCTGTGAGGCAGTCCATTCTTTCGTTGGACCATTCTTCTTGTTACAAAATTCAAAAATTTTTCTTTACCCTTATCTGCCTTAAGAAGCTCTTCAAGCCACTGTCATAAATTGATTTCTTTATGGACAAAACTAAACTGAAGTGTATTTATTCCATTAATCATGTAAATCACATGAATAAGTAAATTAGATTTTTGCAAGATTTTTTAGGGAATAAGATGGCTTATAATGTATTCAATTATATCTAACATAGCACAGGTATGGGTACCTCCTGGAAAATCTGGAGTATGTAAATAAACTAAAAAATAAACAGGCAAGTATAAAGTTCTTCAATAGTTTTCTCAATTTTCCATTTAGCTCAGCTGTTGCCATAGACACCATGTCCAAGATTTCTGTTTAGATGTCTCACTTTTAGTGTGCCAGAAATAGTATCTTAGGGTAATATTCTTGTCTTTTGTCAAATGATACCTATTAAAAGTTACTGACTGCATAGTATATGCCAGGGTTGTTTTTTTTTTATAGATATGTTCATAGAAAAGTGTGACACAGAAGTGTGTACCCTGAGAAAGAAGATTCCTACAAGAGGGCTCCCAGTGGCAAATTTGCTTCAAATTTAAAAAACAAGAGTCTAGTAGCCATTTCTACATGATGAGGGGGTCAGTGGGGGTCCTATGAAAACTGCATTTCAAGGAGAAGCCTGCACTAAACTACCTGTCTCTGCACTGAACTGCCTACCTGCACTGTTTCTGCCACCTGAGCCAGCCCTTATAAAGGAGTTCCTGAAATCCTATTTCAACCAATAGGAGGACTAAGGCTCTCTTCATCCAATCAGATCTGTGCAGCTAAACCCCCCATTGGTTTCTTCATCAACTAGACAGAGAGGCTCCATTCTGGCCAATCAGGAAAGTGCCCTTTAGATCAAACAAACTGTGAGGATTTAGAGTCCTCATTTACATGAGGACTAACTAATCAGGGACCAGGACCAGGGACTGCCATCTATATTGGTCAGCACCCTCTGGCTCTGAGAACAACGTTTCCTTTCCAGTGAAGACTGGACACTGTGTTTTCCCCGCTGGAGCTGAAACACTGAAGATGGAACACAGAAATCCCTCTGGAATAGAGTGGAGCAGACCAGGGAGGAGCAAAGAAGAGCAGTGAGGAGCAGAGCAGACCAGAGAGGAGCAGAGCAGAGCAATCTAGCCAGAGAGGGGCCTGGCCCCAGGGCCGCCTCCTTGCCTCAGGGCCTCCCAACAGCAGGGCTGTTTTCACAGCTGTGCTATATCACAATTGCGCTGTTTGCACTAAATAATTTTCTTCTTGACTGCACCCCAAACTGGGGAATCCAGTTGGTGTTGAACTGACTATGCCAAGGACCTTCGGTTGACAAAGTGAATAGCATCTAAGTGCCTTTACT